CGGCGAAACGGAAGCTTGTCATTGCAAGTGCCGCCGAGCAGGGAGCCTGCAGGCTCTCGCCCTCGGCGCTCCCAATGTATGAGCGGCCATGGGACTGGGCCGTCCGGCCCGCGGCCGCGAATTTGCGCATCGACTCCTCGGTCGGCAATCCCTCACGGGGGAATTTGCCGGGCCAGACCTCGCGCACACGGTCCTGCCGAGGCGCGTATCCCCGAACAATGCCGCCCGCGCATGCGAAAACGCGGCGCGCCTCCATGGCAAACGCCAGCGGCTTCTCCCGCTTTTCTTCGAGCAATTCCTTGCTGGCCTTCACGTATTCTTCAATTGCCGCCGCAATCCGCGTCGTCTCCTCCGCGGGCTTGGCGGCCGCCTCCGCCGGGGCCGATTGCTGACCCTCCTGGCGGCACGCCGCGCGGCGGCCCGCGTCCTCGCGCACCAACGGGGCGGGGGCCTTCCGCCCGAAGGCTTCCATCGCTCGCGACTGTGTCCGCAGCACCATATTGATGTGGCACGGCTTAATCGCGACATCGCGCCACTCCGCGGAAGAATCGCCCGCAAACGGCTTCGCGCCTGGCTTCAGGGCCGCAATCGACATATCGCGCGTGGCCGCATCCGAGTAATCAATCGGGCGGACCGCCCCGATCGCTTCGGCCATCAGGCGCGCGACCGTGGTGCACAGCACCAGCTCGGGAGCTGGCGATGCGCCCCCCTCCGCCGCGTTGGCCGCTGCGACGAAGAGGACCCAATCGGCCTTGCGCGCCGCTGCGAGTGGGCTCATGCCCGCGGTAGACGCACGGAGACGCGCGCGCGCGCCCTGATGGCATTTTTTGTCGGTGCCGAATGCGCCAGCAGGCAGATCGCCAAGCAACTCAACGATGTCTGAGCGAGCCAGCGCCATGGATGCTGCGCGCGCGTCGGAAAGCGCCGCGCACGTATCCCCCGCGGCGTCCTTATCGCGCGCTGGCGGTTGCACACGACATAACCCGCAGGCATCCAGCGCAAGAGGGCAGGCAAACGCACGCCGCAGGCATACTGCGCACCGGGGCTGACAGGCAGCATCCGCAGGCATACTGCGCACTGGGCCGGCATACGGCAACCGCAGGCGTACTGCGAACAAGGGCCGGCATACGGCACACACTTGCAGGCATACTGCAACGCACGCAGGCATACTGCGCTATGGGGGGGGGCCGGCATACGGCACTCGCAGGCATACTGCGCATAATGGCCGGCATACGGCGCCCACTTGCAGGCATGCAGCCGCACGCGCAGGCATACTGCGGAGAGGGGCTGACAGGCAGCAATCGCAGGCATACTGCGTACAGGGCCGGCATTCGGCATTCGCAGGCATACTGCGCACAATGACCTGCATACGGCACACACTGCAGGCATACTGCACAGAGGAATGATTGCCGGCGTACGGCATCCGCAGGCATACTGCGCACAAGGGACCAGAATACGGCGCGCACTTGCAGTACAGCGCAGGGGACAAGTGGCCGGCATACGGCATCCGCAGGCATACTGCGCACTGGGTCGGCATTCGGCCCAGGATGACCCGTACTCATGTGTGTCCTGACCTTCGAGCCGCAAAACCGACGAGGGACGTAGGTGCTCTCCACGAAGTAGACGCGCGGACCGGTGGGGGAGGAGGGGAGGGGAGGAACCTGCAACGGGAGAGAGAGGCGGCGGAGCGGCCAAGCGAACGCGCGCGCGGGAGGAGGGGCGAGGGGAGGAACCTGCGACGGGAGAGAGAGGCGGCGGAGCGGCCAAGCGAACGCGCGCGCGGGAGGAGGGGGGGGGGGGGAACCTGCGACGGGAGAGAGAGGCGGCGGAGCGGTCAAGCGACGCGCGCGCGGGAGGAGGGAGGGGGGGGGGGGAACCTGCGACGGGAGAAAGAGGCGGCGGAGCGGCCAAGCGAACGCGCGCGAAAAACGCATCCCGCCAGCGGGACGACCACGCGTGAGACAAATCCCATTCACCTGCGACGAGAACGCGCTCGCGGGCGCGCAGGGTGGGGATCCGCCTCAGCCGTGAATAGCCGTCCCGCAGCATTAGAGACAATCAAGAAGATAGCCAATAGGGGCCACGACGCTCGCGCGACTTCTCCCCGCGCTCAAATGCTGCCCAGAGCGCGCCGCGCGCAACTCTTTAGCCCCCGCGAGCGTCCACTGTGGGGTCCAGAATCTGTCGGGGCGACGCGTCCTCCAGTTTTTGGCCGCGCGCATCCTTTGCCTTTCCCACATCATGCCTTGCAGCCGCGTCCTATGTCCCCATCCCAGCCCCGCCGCAAGTGCGAAAAGCTCTCTGTTGCATTCTGCCGCAAGAGTGCCCGACGTTCCAGCGAGCCCCGCAGTCGAGGAGGGGGCGGGGCAACGTTTCGGGCCTGGGCCCGATGGAAGCGCGGCGCCGTCGCCAGCGCTGTCAATCTCGCGGTTCGAGCGCTGCGTTGTGAGACGTGAGTCCAAGCGCCGATGTCTATGCGGCTCTCCCTCCCTTCCACGTTGGCACCTGACAGCGAGGGCGCGCAGGTCGAACCGGCGTGCTCGCCGCGCCCAGCGACGCCTGTCCAAATCGCGAGCGGCCGCCGCCGCCGCCTCCGCCAGCGGGCGCACGGGGGCGCGCTTCCGCGCCGATCGAACCGACCCAAGCTCATCCGCTCGCGCGCAAAGTGGCCGAGTCGACCTTGTCAGTGCGATGCGTTGTTTGCTTCCCTTCGCGTGCGCGGGCGTCGCCGCTGGGTTGCTCCTCGGCGGCGCGGACAATCTGACCGCGGCGCAATTCTTCCCGCGGGGCCAGAGCCCAACGGACGAGGCAAGCGCGATCGAGGAAAGTTTCCGCATCGCGTACGGTCATTTCGAGAAAAGGCGTGGCCCGCGGCGCGAGTTGTCGGTGTCGCGGCAGTGGCTGGCGCAGCTTCGACCGGAAGGTTTCGTCATGATCGGCGCGAGCGCGCTGGGCGGAGCTTGGCGGGGTCGTTCGGCATTGAGCGAGCACTGCTGGTGCCGAGAGTCATTGGCCCGCGCTTTATGACATGCGGACTGCGACCTTTGATCTCGCGCGCAAGTCTTTGCTGCGATGGCTGGTTGCCGCGATCGCTTCGTCCGCGCGTTCTTCGCATCAGGCGCGCAGCGGTCTTCTGCGTCAGCTGAAAGAAGGGGAGGCAATGTACCGAGCAGCGCACGCACTCGCGGCATACGCGGCGGGCCCTAGCAGGCCGCGAGCGCCAGCGCCGGCAGTCGCGACCGGGGGGCGCGCCCTCCGCGCGCAACGGGGTCTCGGCTATGACCGCGGCGCGGACCGGAAGGCCCCACTGCGACAAGGGCGTCGTCGGCAGCGCAGCCCAGCGCGCCAGGAGCTGTGCGAGCCCAGACTCAAGCGCGAGGCGCGTGCCAGGCGATGAGAATTATCGTCGCGCCGATCGCGCGACGGAGGTCGCAGCTTTCCCGGCGCCGCGTTTGCGGTTGGAACGGCGCGCCGCGCCTGTCGCGCGACTGGTTTGGAGGGCGGTGCCGTGGATCAGCTCTTCGGCGTCGATGCGTCGAAGAGGTGCGGCGCTCCGCCCGGCGCGCGAAGGGGCACGGGGCCTCGCTGCGCGCGGCAGCGCATACGACCTCGTCGAACAAGCGCAGGGCCCCGCTGCTGCAGGGCTGCCCCAGCCAATGGCGCGAGCGACGGGGCCGCCCGCGCGCATACGGGGGCTTGCGCGCGCTCCGAGGCGCTAGCGTCGCACGGTCTTGGCTTGGGCGGCGGCCTTCTCCAGGCTTTCCAAGGGCCCTGCGTTGCTTCGCCGCGCGACCAGGCGGGGGCGCGCGCCTGGGGGGGCGCCTCGCGCATGGTGCAATCTCTCTGGCCGGTGCCGGCGCCGCGAAGGGTGGTCGGGGCCGCGCGCGGCCCGAGTGGTGCGATCGTTCGCGCGAGTGGGCGCTGCGCCGCCAGGCCGCGATCGCCGCCATCATTCACGCGGTCCGCGGCCGCCCGCGAGCCGCTGCGTCGCGGTGGCTCGTGGCCGCTCTTGCTGAATCTTAGGTGCCGCCTCTGTTCCCGCCGCCAATCTGGAACAGCGCGATCGCGCGCTGCGCCGCGCGGCGATCGCGATGGCGCGGACTGGCGAAGCGCTCGCAGATCAACCGCTGCCGTGCGGCGCCATTCAGATTACGCGTCGCGCGGCGCGCCGTGGGCTCCGACGACGTGCGTTCGCTATTCAGCGCCGATGGTCACAGGTGCGCGGCCCTTATCCACGGGGGCTTCGTGCCCCCCCTGCCGAGCCCCATGGGCGGTTTCCGAAGTTCCTTTGGGAATCCCAGGGGGTCGTTTGATTGACCCTCGTCTGCGTCGCAATGCCTTGATGCGTTCTCCTCCAACGCCGCGAAGTCTTTGCGTGGTTTCATTTTCGCCGCTTTCCTTTATTTGGAAAGCGTTGCGTAGCTGCGCGTTGCGATGCATTCCAAGTCTGCGATTTGACTTGCTGTGCTTTGCATTGTTTAGCATGGTCAGTCTATGCATAATTTTGCGTTGCGTGTCTTTGCTTTGCTTCTGGCTGGTCGGTAGCAGTGCAATCCATCGCGTGGCTCTGACTAGCATCGAATTGCAACTTTATGTTCGGTGGCCGTGCCTCACGCGTCGCCGTGCATCATTGCGTTGCTTTGCGTTGTTGCGCGTTGCGGCGAGTGGTTTTTACTGCTGCGATTTGTTTTGTTGCCCGCTGCCGCGCAGCGCGCTTGGCGCGCGTTGCGGCGCGTAGTTTCTCGTGCGCTGCGTCGTGCTGGGTTGCCTTGCGTAGCTAGGTTCGCAGTGCTCCTCCGAAATACATGGGCTAGCTCTCTGCTTCGCTCGAGCGTGTTGCGCGTCACGCGGGGCTCGAATCCCCCGCTGGGGGTGGCTTCCGCGGGGGCGGGGTACCCGCTTGCAGGCCACAATTGTTTCGGTGCCGTCCTGTACCCGGCGCGGCGGCCCGCGGGTCGCGATCGCCCGCGACGCGGCCTCTCCGGCGCGTTCCTGCCCAGATCACCATGGCCGACTTCGTGCTTGCAGACGTCACGGCGACCCGACGACGCGCGACGCGGCGCTGGGCCAGCCCGCGCCGGCGCGCCCGGGGGCCGAAGGATTCCGCCCTGGACGGCATCATTGCTGGCTTCCCCGCCGCTTACGCGGAAAAGGTGGGGAAGACGGGCGACGCGATGTCACTCTCCGTCGTAGCGCTTCTGGTTCGGCCCCGCCCCGGGTCGCGCCGTCGGCCGAGGTATAGAGCGCGGGGCAGCGCATCTCGCCTCCGACGTCGCCGCGGGGCGCCCTTGATCGGCCGCTGTTGCTCGGGCGACGCAGGTGCTTCTCGGCGTTCATGAGCATGCAGTGTTCTTCTATATTTCCCCGATGCACAGTGCCGCAGTCGGGCGAAGAGCCCATCGCCGCGGGCGGCCGGGCACCAATGTGCCTCCAACTCTGCATCCTGCCGCTGATCACGTGCCCTGGGTTTTGGATCAGCGACGTCGCTGGCCCGTGCTCGATGGTGTCTGTGCCGCCCGTGTGTGCGCAAGCGTTTTATTGGAACACGGCCTTGCCCGTCGATGGACTTGCCGCGCGCGGCGAAGCGGCGTCGCCGTGGAAGCATCGATTGCCTCCGCAGTATTCAAGTTTCGACGAGGCGAACCCGTTCCCGAGCGATTGCCCTGTTCCCAACCATGGGCCAGGAGGCATGGACTCCGCGGAGGACCCAGCGTCGTACGACGACGCCCCGACCCCTGGGGTCCCGATCTTGGGGAGCGATGAGCCCGCCGACGAGAGCCCGCTCCGTTAGGCCACGCCGGGCCGGGTTGTCTGCGAATCACCGGCCAGCGCCGGCACCGCGCAGAATTCGCGGAGCTCGCTGAGCGTTCGGGCAATGGCAGCGCCGCGCTGCGACGTCGCGCCACCTTCATGTTCCCGCGATCGGTCTGCGAGTGTCCTGCGCGACTTGTATGCGCTGCGCGGCGACGAGCTGTCAATCGCGAGTTGAAGACGCTGCTTTCGAGTGGCGTTCGTGCTCGGGAAGGCAGCGTTGCTGCGATTGGCGAGGGCTCGCTGCGAGCTGCGCGCGCGCGATCGCCTGCGGGGCGCGGGGTCGCGGTCGTTCGAATTTGCTAGGGCGGGAGCCTGGCCCCAGGGCGCCTCGGCCCAATCGAGATCACGTCGGAAGAAAAGGCGAATGCCAACAGCAGTTCCTGCCGATGCTGAAAACATCAATGTCCGCGTCGCCGCGGTCGCCGTCGACCTCGCGCGCTCGCGCGGCTGTCAGCGCTTCCAGCTGGCACTTCCTGCGTTCTTGTTTGCGCGCAACGGGCCGCAGTGCTCCTCAAAGACGAGGTCCTCGGCCATGATCGCGGCGGCCTCTGGCGACGATGCCGCCGCGCCGGCGGCCGCCGCCGTGGCCGCGCAGGCAGCGCCGCGCGCGAAGGAAGTGGCGCCTGCGCCGACGATGAACGTCACTGGTCCTACTTCGTTGCAGACCTGCGCGATGGCTTCGAGGGGCCCCGTGTCCGTTGCCTTCGTCGCAGCGATGCCGCCCTGTGCCTCGGATGACTTCGGGGGCGACATATAGTCGGCGACGGCGAGCCCTGCGGTCGTTACCCGGCCGCCGCGAGATGCGTCTTCACCTGCGCGAGCACAACGCTCAGCCAGTGCGCTGCATGAGCGACCGCAGTTGGCGCAGCAGCAGCTGCAGTTGCAGCCGCGTCGGCTGCAGCATCATCAGTTCAATTGGAGGTTGAAGCAGAAGCGCAAGGGTGTCAGCAGGAGCACCCACAGCAGGTAGTTGCAATAACGTCCAGGTTGGCAATGGCGACGGCGCCGGCAGCGCGAACGTCTGCATGGGGAGGGGGCGGGGGGGGGGCTGCAGCCGAGCAGGAAAAACGTGTTCCACCGCTTCCCAGCTGACCAGGCCTCGCTGCGCCACGGGGCGCGAGGGCGAGGGCGATGCGCGCGTATGTTCCATGGTTGGTTTCCTCCATTGCCGCAGTCCGATGCTAGCGCGCCTTCTCACGTGGTTCCAACAGGGACCCCAGGGAAAGGACCTTTTGAGACCGGCGATGCCGATTTCTCACGTCTGCTCGGCTTCACTCACAGGGTCGCCGCATGACGCTGTCACTCGCACTTCTCGAAGTCAGTATGAGATGCAACGCCGCGGTCTCAGCAGTCCCTGTCATTGGCGTCCCTGTAGGAACGCATCGTCCTCCTGGTCTCACATCGCTGCGCGCTGCGTCGAGCGCTGCATTATGCGCGGCTGCTCGCGAACGCGCGAAGTGGCGACCGTGCGCGCGCGGTTCCAAGCAGCGAAATTTCACGCGTGATCCGTGGATGTTGGATTTGTCGTCTGGTTTTGGCGCGTGGGCCCAGAACATCGCAGTGTTCTCTGTGGACCCCAATCTAGCACGTGCTAAGGGGCCCATTGCGCGCGGCGCAGTCTGGGCGCATCGCGACGCCTCCTGGACAGGGGCACGCCGCCCAGGACGCAGCGCCCAGTGTCGAGCTTGTACCCCGTGGTCTGCAGCGATGGGGAAACGAATCTTCTCCGCTCGCCGAGGCGGTGCATTGTTGCCGAGGCGCATGCAACTCCAGCATAGAGTGCAGTGCGACAGCGCAACCTGCTTTTTTTTTTCTGGGCCGCGCTCTTAGTAAATCTCTTGAGGCGCAGGGCGAAGTGCATTGACGGTGGCTCAGGGAAACCAGGATCCCGCCCCCAGTCGATTCCCGCCCCCTCGAGCTCGCCCACCCGCAAGAAGCGCGCAGACATACGCAGGCGCGCGCGCGTTGGACGCATGCAGCAACCTGTGGGGCAAGTGCCTGATGCGACGCGCAAGCGTTTGACAAGCGAGGCAGGGCGGCCGCTGGCATATAAGGCGAAGCTCAACGATTACGCCGCGGGTCCGACTCCGAATGGGCGAAGCGTCCTGCGCACGCAGAAATTCGCACACGCCATCAGCCCGCGCGGCCCGGGGCGGAATTGCGGCAGGTTCTTTTGCCTTTAGGCCTGCGCTCTCCGGGGGGGGGGGGGCTGCAGCCATGGCTCTCTGCGCGTTGTGTGCCGTCGCTGCGCTCGTGCAGCTCCATGGCGCCGCCGCTGCGGCTGCCGAGCAGGGCGTGGGCGGTCGCCCCGCGACGGCGCTCGCGGGCTGCCCCGAAGTGGATTGCGCGAGCGCCCGAACTGGCCTGGCCGAGGCCGTGCGCGTGCAATATGATTTCGCCGCGCGGGTCAGACCAACGCGACCGCGTTGCCGCGCGCGCGCGGCCTGCGCTTGCGTGGCAGGATACGAGCGGCAGCGGGCCAGACGTCCGCGCCTTCCAAGGAGCGCAGGGCACGCCCAGATTTGCTTTTCGCCCCGCGCTTCGCCTCGTTAGCCAGCGCGAGATGGCGGCTCTACGAGCAGCCGCTCGGCGCCGCGAGTCGCGGCGCCTCGCCCAGCCCAGGGGGTCGGCGCCCTGGGGCGCGCGCGGCGAGTTTGCGCGGGGCGGGGGGGGGGGGTGCTTTGCATACGCGCAAACTTCCGCGGGTCCGACTTCCCATCTCGTCGGCGAGCTGAAAGCCGACGCAAGACATGGCGTCCAAGTTTGCCGCGCGGCGACCAGATTCTCGGCGGTTTCGGAAGAGGAGCGGCCGCGCACCCAGCGTCGCAGACGCGCGCGCCGCCGCGACGGCACTGCAATCGCGAGGGGGTTGGCGGCCATGCAAAATCGCGGTCAACCCCTTCGCATTGGCCAACAGCGCAGCGGAGCGCGCCAGCCCAGAGGGCGCGCCTTCCTCGCGCAGGGGCGCGCGCGCGCTTGGGGGGGGGGGGGGGGCGTGCGGCTCCCTCGCGCGGGCCGCGCCGCGGTCGACGCGCGCGCCGCCATCTCGCGCGCGCGTCGGCTCGAGGGCTGCGACGCGCGAGCGCAGCGGCGTTCGCGTCGGCGCGAAGCGGGCAAGACGTGTCCGACATCGAGGCGGAGACCGTTCGCCTGACGCTCTCAGAAAGGAAATATCAGAGCTCGCGCCGCGTCTAGGGGCGGGGGGGAGGAAGGCGCGCGACGCGCTGGTTCGGTTATTACATGAAGTTTCCGAGCCAAGCGCCAAGCCCATGATGAAAGCCATGGGCGTGTTAGCGTCGGCGTCGCGGTTGATGAAATCCCCGGCGAGCGATGTGGAGCTCCAGCGCCTGGCTGGCTCCATCATAACTCACTTGACGGGGATGCCTGTCTCTTCTGAAATATCGGGCGATACCTCGGGGTCGCGCGGACAGGTCAACATCGTCGTCCCTTCCGCGCGGTCCGCGTATACCGTCCCCGACAGGGCCCACTGCTCGCGCCATTCGGCGCGCTCCTGGAGAATAACGCGCGGCGCGCGCGCTGCCTAGCCCGCGGAAAAGCTTTCATTCTTCCCAGCCAGCGCTGGGCGGCCGCCCGCGCGTGAAGATTCGCGTCGGCGCAAGAGATGGGCGCAGGGGCTCAGCTGCGCGACGACGGAAACGCTCGCGACACCGTTCGTGGCGCGTGGCGGCCCGCGGTAACGCAACGCGCGCCCAGGCTTTTCCGCTCCACCTGGTGCCCCGCGCCTTCGCGAGCGCTCAGTAACTAGCCATAAGAAACAACCATCCAGTATAACTCTTATCCCCCGGCGAGCCTCACTGTGGGGTCCCAGATCGGTCGGGCCGACGGCGTCCTCCAGTTGCCGCTCGCATCCTGCGCCTTCCCCCGTCATGCCTTGCAGCCGCGTCCTATGTCCCCATCCCAGCCCCGCCGCAAGTGCGAAAAGCTCTCAGCTGCATTCTGCCGCAAGAGTGCCCGATGTTCCGGCGAGCCCCGCAGTCGAGGAGGGGGCGGGGCAACGTTTCGGGCCTGGGCCCGATGGAAGCGCGGCGCCGTCGCCAGCGCTGTCAATCTCGCGGTTCGTGCGCTGCGTTGTGAGACGTGAGTCCAAGCGCCGATGTCTATGCGGCTCTCCCTCCCTTCCACGTTGGCACCTGACAGCGAGGGCGCGCAGGTCGAACCGGCGTGCCTCGCCCGCGCCCATCGAAAACGCGCTGTCCAAATCGCAGCGGCCGCCGGCCGCCGGGGGGGCCCTCCGCCACGGGCGCACCGGGGGGCGCGCTTTCCTGCGCCGTATCGAACCGGAACCCAAGCACATTCGCTTCGCGCGCAAGTGGCCGAGTCCGGAATGCGATGCGTTGTTTG